TACTTCTCAATCATGTCAGTGAAGATGGACAGCATGCACCTCTAGAATATCGCAGGAGCATTACAAAGTCCAAATGGCATTCTGCGATACGCAAATGTACCATAAAGATAAGTAAATGTAGTCTTCTCCTGGTCATCTGGGTGGATGAGGGATCTGAAATAAGCCAGAGTAACCATCCAAGAAGTAGTAATAGGAGTGATTCGCCAACCTCTCCAGCATCTGATCAATGAATGGCAGTGGGAAGTGATCCTTTTTTGTAGCAGCGTTGAGCTTCCTGTAGTCATAACACATCTTGTGCCCAGTGATGGTCCTTGTGGGAATCAACTCATTCTTCTCATTTCTCACCACTGTCACTCCTCCCTTCTTGGGAACCACATGCACTTGACTGACCCATGTGCTGTCTGAAATCGTGTAAATGATCCCAGCAGCCAGAAGCTTCATGATCTCCTTCTTCACTATATCATGCAAGTTAGGATTCAGCCTCCTCTGGTTCTCGATTGACGACTTCGACTCATCCTCAAGATGTATCATGTGCATGCACAATTCTGGAGAGATACCTGAAATGTCACAAGAGAATAGCCAAGAGCCTTGCGAAAAGTGCGCAGCTTGCTTAGCAGTAAAGTGAGCTCTGCATTGTTTAAGGTAGCACCAACTATGACAGGATAGGTAGAGTTAGGTCCTAGAAAAGCATACCTTAGACCTGCAGGAAGCTGTTTGAGTTCGATTTTGGGAGCTTTTTCTTCACTCCAATCACCTAACTTTGCAGCTTTTACAGATGTCCCAACCAGCTCTTGTTGTGCATCCAGCTGCATGACCTGCTCATTTGCATCCATCATCTTGACATAGCCAGCAGCAATGTTGTCTAGATGCTCTGTTGATTCTGTAGAAACTGTCAATGCCCTCTCCAAAGGGTCTGTTGGATGCATCTCTTGGAAGATCTCTTCTGCAAGACTGGTGAGGGAGTCTACATAGAATGTGTGACCATCTATTGTTGGCCTCTGCATCAACTTGTCCATGTCAAAATGCATCACCAAATCTCCCACATTCAAAGCAATTCTCCCTTTTCTGGCATCAATGATGGCGCTTGCAGTAGCCAGAAATGGTCTTCCCAAAATCAAGGGATCCTTTGGTTCTTCACCATAAGCCAGAACCACAAAATCTGTGGGAATCACACAATCTCCCACTTTGACTAGTACATCTTCTAAAATGCCTTCAGGAATCCTTACAGACCTGTTTGCTAAGATAAGAGATATTCTGGTTGGCTGGAAATCAGTCATACCCAAGCTGACAGCAACTGAATGAGGCATCAGGTTGACACTTGACCCCAGATCACATAATGACCTCTCAAACCTTTCAGAAAAGATTGTGCAATCCAGAACAAAGCTCCCAGGATCAGTCAGCTTCTCTGGTATCTTATTTTGAATCACTGCACTTACTTGTTCTGAAATCAGCATTGTTCCTTGCTCCAGCCCTAAATTCTTGGTCATCATCCTTTTCACATATCTCTTTATCACATGAGTAGTCCTTATGGCATCTATCAAAGGAATCTTCACCACAAGCTTATCCATGATAGCTTTAATCCTAGCGTCCTCCAGTTCCTGTTTAGACTTCTTTTGGTTCCTTGGATAAGGCACCTTTGGCTGATAGACACTTTCTTCTGCACTTTCTGGAGTCTGAGAACTCGGAGTTTGCTTCTGTGGTGGGCGTCGATCAACACCAGGGGGTGAGTGTCGATCAACACTAGTTCCTGAGAGTGGTGTCGATCGGGCGTCAAGCAGCTTGTCGACCTCGGTCGATATCCGTTTGCTTTGAGTCGAGGAGTCATGAATTTCCTCTTGTGTCGATCGACACTGAGGGGTTGGTGTCGACCGACACCCTTTAAAATTTTTGAAATCCTCATCTTCCAACTTCTGCAGTTGCTCGAAATCTTCGGCACAAAAGCCTTTTTTCTGCACTAGTTGCAGATTCTTTCCACTCCTCAGCGTGATGGTATTAACAGAGTGTCTTGGATTGGTGTCTGTCCTTCCTGGAAGGAATCCATCCTGCCTTTTCATAGCCCCAACAGTTTGAGCCACTTGAGTATCCAAAGTCTTCACATGAATGTTCAGAGCTTTGATTTTCCCATTCAAATCTTGATACAGGGCGTCAATCTTGCCATTGAAGTCAACTGTAATCTTCTGCTGACCTTCTAGCAACTGCTCAAGCATGGTTTCCATTTTGCTTGAAGCTGATGGTGATGGTGCAGGCTGATATGATGAGGAACCATAGTTCCTGTTGAAGTTGCTGTTCTGATAAGGCTTCTGGTACTCAGACTTCTGAAACTGAGGCTTGGGAGTGTAGCCAGTAGAACTCTGGTTTCCTGGGAAGTTGTTTCTCTGCATGTTCCCACTGAATCCTCTGTTTCCCTGCTGATTGTTGTACCTTTGTCCCTGAAAACCAGCTCCATTGATGTAGTTGACATCCTCTTCTTCAAACTCCTCAGCTGGTTCAAATGTTTCAACCTTAGCAGCAAACTGAACAGACTTCTTACCCATCAAGAGGCTGTGAACAGAATCCAGTTTATCCTTCATCTCAGCAGCAAACTGATTGCTCCCCACATATCCAGCGTTTTTCTGCCTCTCAAAATCAGCATTCTTTGTGCTGTTGTTGGAAGCCAAGTTCTTTATCAGTTTAATGGCATCAGTTGGGACTCTAATGTTGATGTTCCCATTGCTTGCTGCATCTAGAGCCATCTGGTACTTCCAATCAACACATCTGAAGAATATTCCCAGCAGCTGCACCTCATTGAACCCATGGTGTGGGCAATCCATTTGGTACAGCTCGAATCTTACCCATGCTGCCTTGAAAGCTTCAGCTGAACCTTGGGAGAAAGTGGCGATTTTTGTCCTCAACTCCTCTGATCTTGCATCATCATGAAAGTTGTTGAGGAAGGCAGATTTAGTGTCCTCCCATGTGGTCAAAGAGCCAGGCTCCAGCTGTTTAAGCCAATGTGCTGCATCACCTTCCAAAGAGTGAGGGAAGAGCTTGCAGAATAAGAAGTCATTGGTGACTCCATTGGCTTTAACACTTGTAGCCAAGTCTTCAAACTTCTCTATATGGTCCATTGGATGTTCATGAGGCAGCCCATGGAAGGGATGTTGAGCAACAAGCTGATAGTAACTGGGTTTCAGCTCAAACTCGTTTCTCTGAAAGGCAGGTGGCCGGATTGCAGCTCTATTTGCATAGAACTGATCAGACCTGTTGTAATCTCCCAGGGTCCTTTGTGGAAAACGCCCAGCAGAATTCCCAGCAGCTTGTTGTTGTACATTTCGCAAAACAGGTTGCACATCCTGTTCCTCAATCACAACGCCATCCTCATCTATCCTCTTACCATCTTCATTCCTTCTATTCCCTTCTCTGTCAACTAAATGACCCTCAGCATCTGTCCTCAAAACAATTGGTCCAACCATCTTATCCTGTTTCTTAGCTTTTCAGATGGTTCTTTCTAGCTTAGCGAGTTCTTCGATGCTTAAAGTAACGAGTTGCTTGTCCTTGTTGCTCCTGGTACTGCGATTATGTATGCACCTGAAACAGACAGCAGAGAAAGGAACAAAGTTGGTTAACAGAAAATAAAGGCTTAGTCAAAATTCTAAAACTAAAAATCTGAAAGTAATATCTAAGTCCCCGGCAACGGCGCCAAAATTTGATATGCTCAAATTAACCCTTAGAGCTACTCTCTCAAATTAAGAGATCACTGTAGTACTTAGAGATCAAATCCACAAGGACTTAAGGCTATTACTCAACAGATTTTAGTTTCAAATAAAGCTAAGCAATCAATAATGAAATGAAAATAAAATAACAACGAAAGTATTGATGTCAGGTGCGGATTGTAGGTTCTTAAAATCAGAAGACAAAACGCTAGGTAATGGGAATTTCGCAGGTTGACATAAATCGCAGACTACGGACTGAAAGGAATATTTATTAAAACCGTTATAGAACTCGAAACACTAGTGTAAAACCAATCGACTTCCGTCGCAGAGATTAAGTATGATCAGATTCTAGAATTCCAAATTCCTTTGCAAATTCTAACAACCTAAACATGCATTATAGATCATGTTCGATATGTTCACAAAATCACTAATCCAAATTCCTTTGCAACTAGTTATTTTGCTCATCTAAGATAGTTCTGGTGATTAACAATGTTTCCACATCCATTAAACAACCTAAGATCTGATTTCTAGGTGATCAATCTTAAAACCAGTGTTAAAGCAATCTAGATGAAGAACTAAATGACTTATCCTTCCAGTTTTGTAGTTCTAACAATTCATTATCAACCTTTGAATAGCCCAAAACCTAACTAGCAAATTACTCAGACATAGCAAGTGAAACACAAATCATGACTGAATAAAATTGCATTAAGCAAATAGAGTAAAAGATGAAGGGGTTCAAAATTCTTCTCTACAGAGTATGAATTTGTCTCCCAAAAGCTATCAATCTAATCTCTCTCATAGTCTCAATGATAATCAGAATGTCTGCCTAACAATGGCTTAAAAAACCTAAATACAAGTCTAAACACGAACTGGGGCAAAAGTGAAATAGTGGGAAACTTCTGGGCCAAGTTGCAATTCCTTCCAATGAGTTTTCATGTTTCTTCGCGACCACGACCGGTGTCGATCGACACCAAGTGATGGGTGTCGATTGACACCCTGCTCCTTAATGCCCCCCGACTTGGTCCTTTCAGCATCAACTCCAGTATAGCTCCAAAAGGTTCCAAAATCCACAATTATGCTCCATTTGTACCTAGACCTGCAAAAACTCAATAGGACTCGAAAAATACCAAAAAGACTCTATAAACAAGACTTATATCATGGTCAAAAAGCAGCAAAAACCATGATATATCACTTAGTAAGTCTGAATAATCTATATCATGACCCTTGAGGCTTTCATGTCATCCCATTGTATTTTTGTTTTTTTTTTATCAGCAAAGTTATAATTTAGATTAAAACCAACAGAAACACCGGTCAGAGAATCCATTTAATACAATACTCAGTACCATGCTGCCGAGCTGTTTTTGCTAGTTTATCAGCTTCTTGCAGAAAACATCTCGGAGCGTATTGAAAACAGAAAGAAACAGGAATTGCGAGAGCGAGAATATCTTGAATGAGAGTAGCAATGGAGGCATGAGAGATTGCAGGTCGCTGAAAGCCTCTATTGTGTTGTTGCAGGATTTCATATAACACTTTGCAGTCTCCTACTAAAGTGATATGAGTGTATCCCAAAGCTTGAAGATGTTGCACAGCCATGAGCAAAGCCATCGCCTCTGCCTGTAGCGCTGTTTGCGTAGAGGGTATAGAGGCACTTCCCACGAGCAGTTGGATGCCTTCTTTGCTATGTAAGGACCATCCAATACCTGCTCTGTGAGAAGTAGAGACCCAAGACGCATCAACCAAACAGAAGTAGGCAGAGTTGTCTTCAGTAAGATCATTAAGATTCTTATTAGGAGGTGGCACAAAGGGAGTAATACCTGAGCATTGCATTTCCACATTAATTGCTTCTTCCCAATGCTGCTTCTCCATAAAGGCCATTCGAATAGTATGAGTAATATGATCTCTCTTATGCTGAAAGATCAAATTATTTTGCATTTTCCATATTCGCCAGCCTAGAAAGAAAAACAGAGTTGCTGCTTGGTGAGATCGTAACTGAGTTAGCCAGAACTGAATATTTTGGAGCAATGTATTTTGAAGAAGGAAATCAAATTGCACCATATTAGAAGTTGCTAACTCCCATATTTCCTTTGAAACACGACATTGAAAGAGCAAATGATTGATGGTTCCGAATCATTACCACATAATGGGCAACTAGTATCCTTAAGCAGCTGTCGTTTTCTAAGATTATCAGAGACAGGAAGGCTATTATGAAGTACTCGCCACCAGAATAATTGAAGCTTCGGAGGAATTTTAGTTTTCCATAAAAGCTTACATACCTGTTTTGCATCAGCAGAAAGTGTATTATTCTGAGAGCCCTGGCTAGTATTCATTGCTGTAAACTGCCTTTGGACTTTACCGAATAGTCCCCTGTTTTAGTGTAGGACCATATTAAAGCATCAGAAGCACGAGATAGACTAGGTCTTAGTTCTTGAATCCTAGGAATATCCACTGAAGCAATAAAATCTGACAATTTATCTTGATGCCAGTCGCAGGTAAGGGGATTAATGAGATCAGCCACATGAAAAGGAGGGGTAACATTAATATACCTTGGTTGTGGTGGGCGAGGAGGTTCTGTAGGTAACCAATTATCATGCCATACGTGAATCTGATCACCTGTACCCACTAACCATCGACTGCCATATTTAATTAAAGGCTGACTTTGAAGAATACTTCTCCATGCATAGCTAGAGGTTGCGTAGCTTGTAGCATCCAGAAAATGTGTATGCCGAAAATATTTAGCTTTGAAGACTCTTGATAATAATGATTGGGATATTATATCATCCTCCATGCTTGCTTGGCAAGAAGGAAAATTTTAAAGTGGTATAAATCACGAATGCCAAGGCCGCCATCTTGCTTAGAAACAGTGATCTTATCCCAAGCAATCCAGGGGATTTTATGTTGTCCTTTAACTCCAGACCACGAAAAACTGCGCATTGCTGATGTAAGCTCTGTAATTAGACTTTTAGGCAGCATAAAACAAGATATTGTATATGTTGGTAGAGCAGTTATGACCGCTTTAAGCGGAACTTCCTTACCAGCTTGAGATAGATATTTGTTATACCAGCTATAAAGTTTATTTTGCACTCTCTTGTTTATGTAGGTGAAGACATCTTTCTTCCGTCGTCCAATATGCTCTGGTAGCCCCAAATATCGCCCAAGACCGCCTGTCTTCTGAATACCTGTTTGCCTAAGAATCATTTGCTGGATGTCATGAGGAGTACCTTTACTGAAAGTAACAGCAGATTTTTGATAATTAACCTATTGACCTGAGCCTCTCTGATAAATGGAAAGGACATTCAGCAGATTGGTACATTCATCTATAGAGGCTCTGCAAAAGATTAACGAGTCATTAGCAAACAACAAATGCGAAATCAATGGCCCACTCCGAGATACTTTATAGCCATGAATTTGGTGCCTCTGAATTCTACTATTAATAAGTCTAGATAAATCTTCAGTACAAATTAAATAGAGATAAGGAGAAATAGGATCACCCTGACGTATACCTCGATTAGGGAATATTTTGTCTGAAGGTACACCATTAATTAGAACTGAATAAGAGGCAGTTGTAATGCACTTCATTATCCAACCTCGCCATTGATCATTAAAGCCCATCTGATTCATAATTGTATTCAGGCATGACCACTCAACACGACCAAAGGCCTTTGTGATATCTAGTTTTAAAGCCATGAAATCATTAGCTAACTTCTTAGTGTATAATGAGTGTAGCAGTTGATGAGCAATCAACACATTAACAGTAATAAGTCGCCCTGGAAAAATGCAGATTGATTATCTGAGATAATATAATTCAGCCAAATCTTCAATCTTTCCGCTAAAATTTTTGAGATAAGTTTATAAGCAACATTAGTAAGACTGATAGGGTGATAGTCTTTAACCATAGTGGGCGAATGAACCTTGGGAACTAAGCATATATGAGTATGATTAACCTCAAGATCTAAATAGTTCCCTTCAAAGAAAAGCTGTATAATAGAATACACACCTTGTTTAATTGAATGCCAGTGATGTCGATAGAATTCAGCCATCATTCCATCAGGCCCTGGTGATTTATCAGGATTGATAGAGAAAACTGCTCGTTGTATTTCCTCCTCCGTGACAAGGCAGGTTAGAGCACAATTGATTTCATCAGTCACTGTTCTTGGTATACCGTCAAGAAGTTCCTGCGCAACATCACATCCATTGGTGGTATACAAGTTTATGAAATAACGTTGAATTTCCTGCTGAACTTCGTCAGGCTAAGAAAAGTAACAACCTGCTTCATTTCGCATATATAGGATTCGGTTAAAAGACCTCCATTGCTTCGTTTTCGCATGAAAGTACTTTGTATTTTTGTCTCCCACTTGAAGCCAGAGTATTCGACTTTTCAATTTCCAATACTCCTCTTTGAGTTTGTATTCAATCTGCAATTGAGATTTTAGCAGGTTAATGAAAGCATAATCTAATTGAGTAGCTGCATAGGCATTATGAAATTGGTCTCTTAGCTCCCTGATCTTCTTCTGAGAGTTCTGAATGGTTGTGCTCTTCCAACGGCATAACACCATTCGACACTTGGTGATAGCTTTACTGAAATTTGTTGGAGGAATCGTAGAACACTGGAAAAGTTGATACCCACATTTACGCTGAACCTCGGAATGAATAAGCAGAGGCCGATGATCAGAGCTAATCCAAGGGAGGAGCTGCACATAAGCTGCAGGGAACATGTCAAGCCAATGACAATTTGCTACAGCACGATCAATTTTCGATTTAATTGAGTACGAGTGCCTTGTCCCAGTCCAAGTATACTTTCCTCTCATTGTTTTTAACGCTTGTAGACCACAAACAGAGAACAAACTTCTAAAGAGTGAGAAAGAGCTTTCTGACCTTAAAGTACCACCCTTCTTTTACGAATTAGAAACAATGTTGTTGAAATCACCAAGTACCAAATATGGTTTATCTTGATAAAGCCCTGCATTAGCATCAGAGATCATAGAGGACCACATAGCATGTCGATACTTTGCAACAGGATTTCCATATATATATAAGTACACCAAAAAGAGGATGCACCTTCTGTTATATACATATCCGTGCTATAAAGAGCAGGTTTAGTCAAAAACTTTATAGTAACACTGTCATCCCAAAAAATTGCCATACCCCCACTAAGCCCTTTCGGAGATATTATAATACAATGGGCATAATTAAGTTCCTTCGCTACATTTTCTACTATAGGATCACTATTTTTAGTTTCTACTAGGAGCATGATATCAGGTTTAGAAGACTTCCTGATATCCTTGAGGCTAGGAATTGTCAGACCGCTCCCAAGACCCTAACAATTCCAATGCAGAAGCTTCATTGTTCAGCTGGTGGTTTTGGGGGAACCACCAACCTTTTTACATCAAGTGACTCATGAGCTTGACGTTTAATTGTAAGAGAAGGCTGAGGATCTGCAGAGTCTTGTATCTTCTGCTTAGCTCCAATTTCCATCTGACGGGAGGACTCACCTTGGTCAATCTTATCCATCTTCAGAACAGGAAGGTCAGGAATAGTGTGATTGGTGCTGGCCAAATTAGTAGAACTAACAGTCAGAGCCTGGCCAGGAGATTGATCAGTTGAAGGTGGGAGAATGACGCTTGGGGAGTCCATGGAAACAGGAACAGGGTCAAGTTGCATCAGCTGAAGACTCTGAGTTTCTGGAATAGCCGGCTGAGGATAGACATCAAAACTGTGACGCAGGCTTCCAGAGTTGGTGCAAAACTTTTGCAACACATCATAGCAAAATTCAAGCTCAACCGGAGCTTCTGTACTCCTAAATTGAACTGGTCGTGCTAACGTAATTTCATCGTCTACATTAAATCGAACCTTAACCCAGACCTCAAACACCAAAATCTTTTTGAAACCGAAAACAAATAAGCAAACAAACAATCCCCATGGACCCCAAACCTAATCCTAAGCCTAAAACTAGCTTCAAAATGCAAAGCCAGCAATCAAATGAGAGCCTAATCATGTCGCCTAAACGTAACACGTTATGCCAAGTTCAAACCGAAAAGAGACCTCACAATGGTATCACACAAGAACATTTGGCTTGAAAGAAGGGTAAGGGAAATGGTGGGAGTTCTACTTAGGCTCACAAAAGAGTGGTGGAAGGAGGAAGAGAGCCTAAATATGTATATGATCCGTGTGTTCATTTTCAAATGCATAAGTATGACAATTAAAGATCAGATTAAGGTTTTTGCTTATTAGGATAGGATTGAATTCATGAATGTTCAAGTCAAGCCACGAAAATCAAATCAGATGATCCAAGTATGGTAAGAACTTACTTTCAAAGTGTGAACAATGCATCAAAGAACTACTAACTAAGGTCTTGAAACAATTCATGAGCTTAAAACACCTTTTTAAGAGAAAACTTTAACCCCTTATGCAAATGTAAAAAACATAGATGCTCAAAAATTCTAGACTCAATCCTAAAATGTTCAACAAAGTGAATGCAACTACATGAATATTTTTGAAATTTTTTTAAAAATTTTACTAATTTTTTTGTTCTTTTCTATGCCTTAGATGCAATGAAGTCTCAAAGGATGCAAACAGAAAATAAGAAGAAAGAAAACATGTCAAATAACATACACTCCCCCAAACTTGAATGACACCGTCTCGGTGGCAAACAAATTCAAAGGAGTTCAAAACATAAAGCAAAAACAAAGAAAGCATGCGTGGTATATACAAGGGACGGTTGTTGGTACCTCAGAGCTAAGAAGTGCTGGAGCTTGAGGTTGCTCCAGACTTCTTGCTCTTTGTGGGGGTCTCGTGAGCTACGGCCTTGCCTTTGTCCTTTGCAGCTCCTTCATGAACCGAGTGGCGAGCAGGTAGGATCGTTGCCTGGGGCTCAAGGATCTCAATGCCTCCAATGGATCTCCTTCTCTTCTCGGGCTGCTCGACTTCTTCGCTTATAGCCTTCTTAGGTGAGCTCCCTTGAAGCGCCTTAACCTTCTTGGCAAGCTTCTTGATAACTTTTCTTTGCCATTTTTTGATTTTCCTTTGCATCTCCACAACAGAAGCAAGGAACTTCTCTGTCTTAGTCCTTGGGAAGAACAAAGCTCTCGGGCATCTCATCATCCGAGGCGGGAGACTCTGATCTTGGGCGAGCAGCTTGTTGAAGGGTGGCTGTGGCTCCTAAAGGGGTGAAACACTCCTCTACACTCGGCAAGAACTCGATGTTGCCAACTCCTTGCAGCTCGGTTTCCTCCCTGTTTGGTAAGATGCAAACTCGCTTCTCATTCTCGGAGTCGATGTACAGATAGGCAAAGAAGCCCACGGCTGGAGTGCGTCCAAAGCTGTCCGTGTTCCTCAGGTAGATCTCATCCATGAAGGCTCTCTCTGGAACAGGAGTGAAGTCTTGAAGCGGTACTCCAGCTTGCACAAACAAGGGCGTGAGGAAGCCTCCAATAAGCACCGAGCTTGCCTTGCATCGCAAGGCGTATGCCTTGTACTTCACCAAGGAGGCGGCTAGGATACACCCATAGTTCACGTCATCGGCGAGTTCATCCTCCATTGGATCGTCGTTCTCCTTAGGATCACACACGAGGTGCTTCACGCCTTGGAATAGGAAGCAAAGCTCTCTCTTTGTGACCGTGGGAGCTACTGACCGTCCACTGAAGGTGTAAGCAATCAGTTTTAGCGTGTATCTCAGCACCGGACTCCTCACTCTCTTGATCTTTGCTGTATTCGCCTTGTAGTCGTCATTGCATATGAGATCCCACAGGTCATTGGCTTGAGTGAAGGAGGGGAACTGAACCTTGTTGACAGCAGCGTTGAGGCCATAGGCTTGACAAAGCTCCAGGAGTGAGAGACGGAAGGCCTGACGTTTGATCTTGAAGGAGAGGTGGCCTTGAGAAGGAGTGGGGATGCTCGGGTTCTCATATACGAACTCCAAAGTGGCTAGGAAATCGATTGTCACCTCGGGATAGGTCGAGCAGTCCATCCTTGACAAGCACCGGAGACCTATGTTCTTGAGGAGTTGATCAAAGTCTCTCAAGATCCCCATCTTAGCCAACAGACCTCTATCCGCGAACTTAGTGGGATCGAACCTCAGCCTCTCTAGCCTCTTCCTGGCTTGCTTTTCCTCTTTGGTCCATTTAACCCTCTCCTGAACCACCACTTCTTGACCTTCTCCTTCTTGTGCTGTCTCTTCTCTCGTTCTTTTGGGAGCCATAGTACCTGAAACACAATTATCAAGCAAAAGAATGAGCAAATGCGGCGGATATTGAGAGAAAGACTAGGCAAGAAAGAAAAACTTTTAACAATTAGGCAAGGTTTTACGGGATTTTATAAAAATTATAGCTGGATAAAAGAAAGGAAAATCTAGAGATAATATCAAATCTAGAATTTTTCCTAATATCTAGCTATATCTAAAAAGTTTCCTAATCCCCTAGCAAAACATTCCCTAAATCACAACAGAAAAGGATTTTGTTGAAAGATTTGAGAAAATGATCACGAAAATACCTTTGAGTTTAGAGGAAAATGAAATGCAAAGGTCTTAAAAACTCAAATTCGCTCTCTCTCTTTCTTTGTTTTGTGAAAATCGGGCTTTCAAAGTGAAGAAACAAAAGAGAGAAAGAGAGGTTTTAAAGACAAAAAAATCTTGGACACATGCAAGAGTGATTTCTGACAAAAGCTTGGTCAAGACACATCTTTCATGGTCAAAGATTCCTGCCTTGACCAAGATTTAAATTTAAAAACAGGAGGGAAAGAAGAAAAGAGGGAAAAGAAATTGTTACCTCTGCACGAGATCGAGTCCATTTGGTCGATCTAGGACTCGATCTCATGCCCATAATGGCTAGGATCGAGAGGTTTGATCGATCAGAGACTCGTTTCAAATTGCATCGAGCCTTAGATCCATTGTACCCTTTCGTTCCTTGACTTTGGTCAACTAGGCTGCACTACTTGGATCGAGCCACATGATCGATTTGGAGGTCGATTTGGCTTAGATCGAGTTGGGGATCGAGTTGACTGATCGATCTGTCTTTGAAGGATCTTCTCGAGAGAAATTAGCTCGGTCGATCCATATTTGGACCAATCGATCCAAACTCCAAGAATTTCCTGAGACATTTTAGATCGATCTTGTCTACTCGATCTCGTCTAGATCGACTGGCTCCTCTCGATTCACTAGCTCGATCTAGTAAAGATCGTGCTAGGATAAGTAGATCTAGCACTCGATCTCTAGCCTATACTTAGCCCTTCTCACCTCTTTTGGACTCCAAGATCACATTTAACAATCCTTTATCCAATCACCTACACACTTAAACATTAAAAGCATAAAACTAAAGTAGAAATAAAGCAAAAATATGTAAAGGATAGACATGGGAATGCCTCCCAAGTGCGATTTCTTTAACGTCTTTAGCTAGACTTTACTTGGGGGGGGGGGGGTCTTGAAGATGCACGGTTGTTCTCTCCTTGCTGTAACCATCTGCCAAGTAAGGCTTAACCCTGTGCCCGTTGACCGTGAAGGCATTCCCGCTCTTGCCAACCAATGTAACCGCTCCATAGGGTAGAACCTCTTTGATCTCAAACGGTCCACACCACCTTGATTTGAGCTTGCTCGGGAACAGCTTCAACCTCGAGTCGTAGAGTAGCACCAGACTGCCTTCTCTTAAATCCTTGTGAACAAGCTTCTTATCGTGAACAGCCTTAGTCCGCTCCTTGTAGATCTTAGCACTGTCGTATGCATCTAGCTGTAGCTCATCATACCGTGGTATGCTGATGTAGTGAACTATTTAGCGTGTGGTGAGGAGCCAACACATCTCAACAGGTATCACAAGAAGCGGTTTATGAGAGAGGCTAGTGATTACTTTTGGGACGAGCCCTACTTATACAAGAGAGGAGTGGACAGTTTGTACAGGAGATGTGTTACAAAGGAAGAAGCTAGAGACATCCTCTATCATTGCCATGGCTCTTCCTACGGAGGACACTTCGCTTCATTCAAGACTGCCACGAAAGTGTTACAAGCCGGTTTCTGGTGGCCGTCCATCTTTAAAGATGCACACGAGTTTGTGAAGAGCTGTGAGGCATGTCAACGAGCAGGGAATATCACTAAGAGGAACGAAATGCCTCAAGTTCCTATCTTCGAGGTTGACGTGTTCGACGCGTGGGGCATAGACTTCATAGGCCCATTTGCTTCTTCATATGGCAACAAATACATCTTAGTAGCAGTGGATTATGTCTCTAAATGGGTTGAGGCAATTGCTTCCCCTACAAATGACTCTTAGGTGGTAATCAAGCTGTTCAAGAGTATCATCTTCCCGAGGTTTGGGGTACCTAAGGTGGTTATAAGCGATGGAGGAAGCCACTTCATAAACAAGGTTTTTGAGAACCTCTTGAGAAAGTATGGAGTTAAGCATAAGGTGGCTACACCGTATCATCCTCAAACAAGCGGTCAAGTGGAAGTCTCCAACCGGCAAATCAAGGCTATACTAGAGAAGACCGTAGGAGCAACAAGGAAAGACTGAGCAGTGAAGCTGGACGACGCTCTTTGGGCCTACCGTACCGCCTTCAAAACACCGATTGGTACAACCCCTTTTCACTCTACTCTATGGCAAGGGCTGTCATCTCCCGGTTAAGCTGGAACACCGTGCGTTGTGGGTTGTGAAGAGGCTGAACTTTGACCTCAAGACTGCTCAGGAGAAGCGCCTTATTCAGCTACATGAACTGGATGAGTTAAGACTGAACGCCTACGAGAGCTCTCAGATATACAAGGAGCAGACTAAGGAGACTCATGACAAGAAGTTGGTTGCCAAGGAGCTTAA